CTTGGTATCAGCTCTTCTCTTTTCTCTCTCTCCTACCCTCATGAACCTTTGATAAATTATAAATTATTATTGTTTTCATATCTTACACCATCTGCTGTCTCCCTTCACCCACATTCTATTCTGTGGGGTGGGGTTACATGGTCCATCCTTGCAATTCGTTTCCCTTTCTCCCCCTTTCCCCCCTACCCTCTTGGTGTGGCTACTCCCATCACTGTTCCTGGGATGTTTATCTCTCCTGGATTCTGTGTGTTGAAAGCTTATCTGTATCAGTGTACAGACTCAGGTCTAGCCAGGTTTGTAAGGTAGAACTGTGGGATAGTGGTGGCGAAAGAAATAATAAAGCACTAGAGGAATGTTGTATGTTTTGTCAGAGCTATACTGGGAGCAGTGTTTTTATGGGTATTTGTTGTTTTTGTTTTTGATTTGTTTGAGCCAATTTGTTATTTTACTATAAGGTGACCTTGGGTTTGTTTCAGTTCATGGGCTTTGTTTTGTTTGTTGTTGGTTTGAAGACTAGGTCAGGGAAACAGTCTGGGGAGCTCTCCAGTCTCAACCAGTCCAGTTAGTTTGCTTTTTTTGTTTGTTTTTGTTCTTAAGAATTTGAGATTCTGCTCCACATTTTCTTCCTATTCTAGCAAGGTCCATCTAGTTCTGGTCTCTGGGTAGATGAGGATGTGGTTCATGTAGACTACTAGGCGCTGGAACAATGTAGGGGAGTTTCAAAATCAGATGCCTATACTTTATCCTGGATTAAAGGGCTATCGCACAAAAGTTTTAAATTGTCGGGGACACTGAGTAATTTTTTTTTCTGAAATGGGGTCAGTATGCCAAATAAGTTTGGGAACCTATGATGCAGACTATTTTTTTAAATACAACTTAAAATAAGTGAGTTTAGTGCTATAATCACAAGGGGGTAAGCATAATTATTTCTGGGAAGAACATTGAAAGCCATCTCAAATATGAATTATACAAAAGATAGATTATGTTACTTGAACCAAACAGAGTTTTACTTTTAGGGTTTATAAAATAGTATTTTGTGGCAAGTGAGATGAAATGCAGTATCATTATTGCTATTTTATGTACAAGATTTTTAAAACAAAAAAATTATTAATTCCATTTTAGCAGTACTCTTTCAATTTCAACATCGGGAATTTGTTCCTATTAAAAAAAAAACTACCGGTATGATTCAATTCCATAAAAAAGTTTTTGAGAATATTCCTTTTTTTAATAGTTTCCATGGATGATGATTTTTTTTTGATGATTTTTTGTGAGAAAGCATTTCAGATACTTCTTATCTTCCATAGTTAGTGACTTGATTACCTGACAAATCATTCCAGCAGCCTTTAAGTCGATATATCCTGTGTAAAGTAATCTCCATTATTATTATAGCAGCCATTTTATAAACAGATAGGGCTATTTAAATAATCATGAAGAGATAATCAAATCTAGCATACTCTTTTTTTTATTACTAATATGCTTTATTATTTTAAGTACCATTAAAACTGAGGTGTACCAGGTCACTGAGAAACACATTTCGATTTTAGAGTTGTTGAAATGTGAGAAAATGTCCCATTATCTTAGAATCATTGAAATACTAAAGCTAACATTCAGTGATCCTTTCCTCTTTGGCAGGCTCCTTGCTAATAAACAGGTAAGGTTTAATCATTTAGTTCTTTTAAGGCCAAGGAGGAAATTTTTGTAATTGAGCAAGCAAGAAATACTTGCACCTAGAATAATTTCAGGTTGGGTCCAAATGGAGGTGAACTGACCAAGTATCCAGTTCAATCCAGTGTAATCATGATTACAATGATCTTTTATCTGATGGTAAAGTTGTTCAGTACCCTTGGCTGTAGCTAGAGGGGATCTGCCAGAGACTTAATCTGACTAAATACTCTGCAGATGGGTTTTGGGCTCCCTTTGGCCTCTATAGCATTCTACAAATTGGGTATTCGTAATTTGGACTCTGATACTTTTCCCTTTGTCATATTTGAATTTCGTTATTGCCGTCTTTGGATCACACAAGCCGATGTGCTCCTTCCATGTGGACTTAGTTGACTCCTCGCTTAAATGGCTGCTTGTTTGAATACAAGCCTTTAAGACCCCAGACACTATTCCGATTGAAAGACGGGTGCCATCTGCTTTCTTCACCACACTTTGCTGTAGCACCCTTATCTTCAGTGATCATTACATGAGGGTGAGTATCGAGCAGGGCCACGTTATCAGAACTAGCTGTTTTTGGATTGGGGTTAGAGTTAAGTGGGGGCCCAGAATCCATCTGCTTGTCCCTGGGATGTGCATGGCTCAGGTATACTTTAGTGCTTATATTATGGCAAATTCAAAATCCCATAAGGCCAACTACCCCACGAACAGCAACAAACTAACGAGCAGAGAACAAAAGACAAAACACAGTACAACCAACCTAAAGGCAAGAAAACAAAAACCCATATAAACAGTAAAGTATAGCATTGTCAATCATCCCCCTAGGGTATAAGGTGGTTGCACTTGTAACCTCATCAATTTTTTTAATAATACATCATTCTAGACACTGGTTATGAGGAGTCTATGCCAGTACAGTTCCACCATGGACCACAACCCATGAGTTCTTTTTTTTAAAAATCATTTTATTGGGGGGCTCGTACAACTCTGATCACAATCCACATACATACATCCATTGTGTCGAGCACATTTGTACATCTGTTGCCATCAATATTCTCAAAACATTTGCTTTCTGCTTGAGCCCTTAGTATCATCTCCTCATTTCCCCCCTCCCTCCCTGTTCACCCTTCCCTCATGACTCTTAATAATTTAAAAATTATTATTTTGTCATATTTAACACTTTTCGACGTCTCCCTTCACCCACTGTTCTTTTGTCCATCCCCCAGGGAGGAGGTTATCAGGTATCAGGCATCAAAGAACAAAAAATCAAATCATTGTGAATGAGGGAGGGTGCAGATTGGGGACCAAAGACTCATCTGTAGGCAACAGGACATCCCCTTAAAGAAGAGTCGCGGGGAGAGCCTTGGAATTGGTTCCCCTGGTATCACCACTCTCAGCACTGGTCCTGAAGGGATCAGCTGTCCTGGATTCCCTGTGTTTCCTGTTCCCATCTCTACCAGTGTACATCCTCTGGTTTAGCCAGATTTGTAAGGTAGAATTGGGATCATGATAGTTGGGGGTGGGAAGCATTTAGGAACTAGAGCAGGGATCCTCAAACTTTTTAAACAGGGGCCCAGTAAAAAAAAAAAAAACGGGACCAGTTCACTGTCCCTCAGACCCGTTGGAGGGCCAGACTATAGTTTTAAAAAAAAACTATGAACAAATACCTATGCACACTGCATATCTTATTTTGAAGTAAAAAATGAAATGGGGCAAAAACACCCAGCGGGCTGGATAAATGTCCTCAGCAGGCTGCATGTGGCCCACGGGCCATAGTTTGAGGACCCTTGACTAGAGGAAAGTTATATATTTCTTTGTTGCTACATTGCACCCTGACTGGCTCGTATCCTCCCCGCGACCCTTCTTTAAGGGGATCTCCTGTTGCCTACAGATGAGTCTTTGGTCCCCAGTCTGCACTCCCCCTCATTCACAATGATTTGATTTTTTTGTTCTTTGATGCCTGATACCTGATCCCTAACCAATGATTTCTTGCTCCACACAGTTCAATCTCCCATTTGATTGAGTTCTGTTCACCCTAAGCATGGGGATTCATGCCAGGGGGTGGGGGGAGGGGAGGGGAATCTTCCTGTATCAATTCTTCCAAGTTCAAATCCCTGCTCAACAGATCAAAATTTGTGATGTTGCTACAAGGGAGGCATCGAGGTACTAAATATATGGTGATTATTGGTCCCTTTCTGTTGGACTCCCACCAAACTGGGTATTCCCACCCCCCAAGGTCCAATAACCACCACTTCGCAGGTCTAGGGTGGCCACTATGTGCTTCTCCTCACATCTGAGTACTCCTGTCTTTAGTCCAAGGGTTCAGGCACATTTGAGGGCAGGGGTCAATTCATTCTGCTGGGCCTTTATATTAAGTCCTTCTGGTGTAGCTCCTGGCTTATGCCATCCTGGCTGCAAGGTCAATGTCCAAGATCATCTTGGTGTTTAGTCTATGTCATACTTCATTGAAGGTTGGCTAGAAACATATTTGTAGTGTCTACCCAGGATCATAAAATCTGTACCATTATCCCCTTAGGTTCCCTGTAATCAATGTTTAGCACCCCTTCCTGATATGAGGTTACTTCTTCCCCCAAAACTCACCGTACTCAACCAACAGAACTATCAGTTTCTCCTCCGAAATGTAGATGTTCCTGTCCCTCGGTCTTGGCTTGATTTCCCCACAAGGTTATCCTTCCATTCCTGTGGAAGGCCCACTGATTTGCCCCAGTCTTATGTCAATGTTATGTAGCCTCAAGTGAATGGTCTTTTGGAGGAGTGACCCCAGAAAATGTGGGGTCTCCTCCATCACGATGGCTCTTGTAAGTGCCAGTAGGTAACCTTCTCCTCTTTTGTTCAGGATTTGGTCCCTAAGATTTGTTTAATTGGTGTTTCTCCTTAAAGTAAACTCATACAATATTTGCCCTTTTGTGATTGACTTCACTCAGCATCATGGTTTCCAGGTCCTTCCATGTCTAACATACTCTTAAAGGTAAATTAATTGAAAAAATACTACTATTAACACTTGATATACAAAATCAGCTTTACAATTTTTTACAACTTTTGGTTACTAAATCTGATTTTATATTATATATTTTTTAAATCTTTCTTTAATGCAGTTTCTTAAATGGTCAGGGCCCGCTTAATGCACTTTTCAGTAGTTATCCAGCCTTTTTTGGTTACTTTAAAACAAAAGTCTCACTTGCCTCTAAGGAGCATTCTGGCTGTACTTCTCCGAAGACAGATCTTGTTGGTTCTTTTACCAGCCCATGATATTTTCCATATTCTTCACCAGCACCATAATTCAAATTTATCAATTCTTCTTTGGTCTTCCTTATTCAATGTCCAACTTTCACATCCATATCCATGGTTTGGGTCAGGAGCACCTTAGTCATTAAAGTAACATCCTTTCTTTTCAATACTTTAAAGAAGTTTTGCACAGCAGATTTACCCAATGCAATGTGGTGTGGTGTTTGATATCAATTAGCTGCTTCTATTAGCATTGATTGTGGATTCAAACAAGACAAAATCCTTGACAACTTCAACCTTCTCATGATGTTACTTACTGGTCTTGTTGAAGTATGAGGATGGAATATACCCCGACATATACCTTTCCTGATTTTAAACCACACAGTATTCCTTTGTTCTCTTTGCACAACTACTTCATGACCCATATATAGGTTTTGCATGCACATAAGTAAAATTTTTTAATGCTATATATTAGGCACTAAGAAATGGAGATAAGATTGGTTTCTATCTAAACTAGCAGTTAAGCTGGTGCCCAGCACATATTAGGTGATTAAGTAAATGTAGAGTCCCCATATAATGCTTCCTGAAAAGTTGGCAGTTGAAGTCCATTGGGAGTTACCTGAGTAGAAAAACCAGGTTATCATCTTCCTAAAATTCACCCACTAAAAACTCCCTGGAGAGAGGAATTAGAGTGGAGAGCTGCTATACTCTGTTTAGAGTGGGAGGACAAGTAAGATGGAGACCTACAAAGTCTTCCCAGTCCAAAAAGGCATTTGCCTTTCTCTCTCCTTCTTTGAGATTGGGGATCCTTGGCATCATTGTGGTTATGTGTTGGGTTATGATTTGCAAGGTTAGCAGTTGAAATCCCCAGCCTCTCTCCTTGGGAGAAAGATGGTGCTTTCTACTCCTGTAAAGAAACCCACAGGGGCTCTGTGCTACAGGGTCACTATGAGTGTTAATATCAACTCAATGACATTGAGTTTGGGGGTTTGTTTGTTTGTTTGTATGGGGGGCATCCCTTGAGATTAAAGGAAAGACTTTGGAATCTTCCCAGGGCAGGATATGGTTCTGTTTGAGGGTGGAATGCCTATGTTCTGCATTGGGAAATAAAGTTTATGACGCAAATTTTTAAGGGGTGGTGGCAGGGAACCCTCTGGAGCAAAGTTCTATTCTGACACAAATAGAATAATTATAAGTCAGAATCAACTTGACAGCTAGTAGTTTTAAGTAAATGCATTAAAAAGGTACCATCTCTTATTTTTCCTGTATAATTTAGGTCCAAAGCATTCATTGACTCAGATCTCTCAATCCATGCTGGATCTCTGTGATGAAAAACTCAAAGAGGTAAGACCTGTAAAACATTTAGAGTGAAAGAAAGAAAGGCTGTAGAACTTGAAGGTGGAGGACCCTAAGGTTGAGAAAGTTGGAAATACAAAAAAGGAATAGTAAAGAAAAGTGGGAGTGGCAGGTATTTAGTATGTGTGGGCTGGACAGGACTTAGAAGTCATGCAATAAATATTTTTCTTTTTAAGATGGAAAAATGGGTCCATAGAGGAAAGCTTTGTCTTGGGCATCATGACTATAAAATAGTAGAGCTAAGATCTAGAATGTACTTAACTTTTTAGAAATCATCAAGGAAAATAACTTCCTAGGCAGTCAGCTGGAGCTACTAAATATTGGCAAGGATGTGGAGCAACTTGAAAGAGATTGCCACAATGGGCTCAAATAGCAATGATTTCAAGCATGGTACAAGACTAGACAGTGTTTCTGTTTTGCATATGGTCATTATGAATTGGAATCAATACAATAGCACTAAACAACAGCAGTGTCTGAAATTAATTTACTGGAGTAGTTTCCCTTATACAATGGTCACTAAGCAACAGTAATTAACACTCGGTGTTGAATTGTAGCAGTAATTTAACAGTAAAAACTGAGTGTAATATATAATCCTAAATTGTTGAAGATGTTATAAGGATTAAGCTTTTGAAAGCCCAGAAGTGTATATTTTTGATCAGCTTTAACAATAGAACCTAGAATGCATAAAGGTGTTTCTGACATCCCTTTAGATCATTGGTTCTCAACCTTCCTATTGCCACGGCCCTTTAATACAGTTCCTCATGTAGTGGTAACCCCCCCAACCATAAAATTATTTTCGTTGCTACTTCATAACTAATTTTGTTACTGTTTTGAATCGGGCAACCGAAAGGTTGAGAACCACCACTTTAGATTCTTCTCTTGTAGTAATCATTTATCTGGACTTTTTGTAGACAAATAGACAATTTGATGTTAAGGTTCACAGAGTAAGAACAATAGACAGCTGCTGAACTTTACATTATCCTTAAAATTTTTATGGTGATGACACCTCTGAGAAATCCCTGCCATTGTTTTATTTCAGAAAGAAGACAAATTGGCTCGTTTAGAGAAAGCTATCAACCCTTTGCTGGATGATGATGACCAAGTGGCATTTTCTTTCATTCTTGACAACATTGTCACCCAGAAAATGATGGCAGTTCCAGATGTAAGTGGCCTCTGTGCTAAATATTGTGAGAAAGTACACAATAAAGGAAAGGAATATGAGACATTCATGCATATGCGTGTTAGGGAACCAGGATGGAGAGAGTCTGTTAATTCAGACTGATAAATAATTTTTATAAATCGATCTTTTTGCTGTATGTACCTATGGAGAGATACTTACTTCATGGTGACAACAAATAGCCCTAAAGAGAATTTAGGGTGCCAGCTAATAAGAAACTATTGATTTAGCGATGCTTTTTCACAAATGACAATCCGATAAATTAACTGAGTTTTCTCTTTTGCTGTACCAGTTGATATCCATAGAATTTGCCATAACTGTGTTTTTTGAAGTAAATTGACAGACATGGCTTCTGAGGCACCTCTAGCTTTACTAACCTCCACCCTTTGGTTAGCAGCAGAGTATGTTAACTGTTTATACCAATGTGTGCATGTGATATATGTCATGTTATAAAATTTCTGGCTGAGGTTATAGAATAAGAAATTTTTATTGTAATTATAATACAGAGATTTTTACCTTAGGGCATAAGAGGACCTAATGGAGTCGAGGAAATCCTTAAATTATATACAAAGGTTTATATGATTGTGTGGTTTGATGTGCAAGGGTTCTGTGGGTGAAGGCAGATGTCGGACAGGGCAAGATATGACCAAATAATAATTTATAAATTATTAAGGGTTCATGAGCGAGGGGGGAACGGGGAGGAAGGGGAAAAAATGAGGAGCTGATGCCAGGGGCTTAGGTAGAGAGCAAATGTTTTGAGAATGATGAGGGCAATGAATGTACAAATGTGCTTTACACAATTGATGTATGTGTGGATTGTGAGAATAGTTGTTTGAGCCCTAATTAAACGATTTAAAAACATATGCAAGGGTTCTATAACTTCTGTCAATATCTTGGGAATATTTGTGCCCTAGCTAAGTTTGAGAATTTTTGATAGAGTGGTATCCATTCTCATATTTTCTTTTTATTAGTCTTGGCCATTTCACCACCCAGTCAATAAGAAGTTTGTGCCAGATTATTACAAAGTGATTGTCAACCCAATGGATTTAGAGACTATACGTAAGGTGGGTGATCAAATGTAAAATCCCATTTTGGAATTAAGTGCCTTTGTATGTGTATCTGAGTGCCTGATTCTTTTAATCACAGAACATCTCCAAGCACAAGTATCAGAGTCGGGACAGCTTTCTAGATGATGTAAACCTTATTCTGGCCAACAGTGTTAAGTACAATGGTGGGTATTCTCTCCCTTTATTTTATTGTGGTGAAAACACGTATAACAAAACAGAACCATCTCAACAATTTCTACAGTAACATTGATAATATTCTTCAAGTTTAGCAACTGTTCTCATTATCCTTTTCTAAATTGCAATTAACTTACAGTGGTAAAAAAATAATACATACTTATTTTTTAACTTGGGGGAAATAAAAGATGAGAATAAAAGTCAAATGGATATTACTTTGAACTTTGAGCCATTATTATTTTTCGATGAAATGTGAAAACTGACCTATATGCCCTAAAGCCTTAAAACTGGGGGCAAAATGTAGTGATAAACAATGGATACCTTCCTAGCTTACTGTTTTGCTCAGTATATGAATTGATAAAATAATGTGATAGTCAAAAACTTTGTACAAAATCATGGAAACCGGTATTTAACAAAAATATCAATATTTAAAGCTATTATTTCTCAACATATCCCACGGAGGTCTATACACTTATGAAGATAGCATTTCTAAATCTCTTAACTCTTCCCTGAAGAATTCTGTTCTCTTCAATTTACACCCTGTCAAAGTGGGAGTCTTGGCATCTGCACAAGACTCAAATCTTGTTCCTTTTTTCCTGTTCTCAGTTTGGGGAACAAAAGGAAGTTTGAAGGGACAAGATCAAAGCTGTAGAGTGGATAGGGTTCTGTTCCCCAAAGGATAGCTGCTGCTACCCTCAAAAGAATGAGCAAGTATAGTGTTGTGATTTTTTAAAATCTTGAGTAAAAATTTCCTGGCCTCTAATGAGGCAATTTTCAGTTTTCTTAAAACTGCTATATAATAAAGCCCTCATGATCACCCAGTGTCCTTTTAGAAAAATGTATCAAGATTAACGCTTTGGGATCAAAACAATCAATCAAAAGACTAGTCACCACAACCATTAGGACTGACCCCTCTGCTTTTAAGGTATCCTGAGGATACCAAAGACAAATGTATTACTGAGAATTTAACCTCTAGCCATCCACTGCAGAGACATGGTTAGACACATTTTGTTAGGAATACACCTGTTCATTTGTGAACTAGAATCTTAGTAGAAATACTTTTTAAATTACTCTCCTATGTGCTAGGCTCTATTAGCTACATACTGTATATACTCGAGTATAAGCCGAGTTTTTCAGCACATTTTTTAAAAATCATTTTATTGGAGGCTCATATAACTCTTTTTTTTAAAATAATCATTTTATTAGGGGCTCATACAATTCATCACAATCTGTACATACGTCATCTGTGTCCAGCACTTTAGTACATATGTTGACTTCATCATTCTTACGACACCCGCTTTCCACTTGAGCCCCTGGTGTTGGCTCATTTTTCCCCCCTCCCTCCCCGCTCCCCCCTCCCCCTCCCACTCCCCCTCATACAACTCTTAACACAATCCATATACATCCATTGTGTCAAGCACATTTGTTGCCATCATCATCCTCAAAACATTTGCTTTCTACTTGAGCTCTTGGTATCAGCTCCTCATTTTCCCCCCTCCCTCCCCGCCCCCCTCCCTCACAAATCCTTGATAATTTATAAATTTTTATTATTTTGTCATGTCTTACACTATCCAACGTCTCCCTTCACCCACTTTTCTGTTGTCCATCCCCCAGGGAGGGGGTTATATGTAGATCCTTGTAATCGGTTCCCCCTTTCTACCTCACCTTCCCTCCACCCTCCTTGTATCACCACTCTCACCACTGATCCTTAGTGGTTCGTCTGCCTTGGATTCCCTGTGTTTCCAGTTCCTATCTGTACCAGAGTACATCCTTTGGACTAGCTGGATTTGTAAGGTAGAATTGGAGATCATGATAGTGGGTGGGAGGAAGCATTGAAGAACTAGAGGAAAGTTGTATGTTTCATCGTTGCTACCCTGCACCCTGACTAGCTCCTCTCCTCCCTGCGACCCTTCTGTAAGGGGATGTCCAGTTGCCTACAGATGGGCTTTGGGTTCCCATTCCGCACTCCCCCTCATTCACAATGATAGGATTTTTTTTTGTTGTTCTTTGATGCCTCATACCTGATCCCATTGACACCTCATGATCACACAGGCTGGTGTGCTTCTTCCATGTGGGCCTTGTTGCTTCTCAGGTGGGTAGCTGCTTGTTTATCTTCAAGCCTTTAAGACCCCAGATGCTATATCTTTTGATAGCCAGGCACCATCAGCTTTCTTCACCACATTTCAGCACATTTTTTATGCAGTTTTTGTGGTAAGATTAGGTGCCTCGGCTGATACTCAGGTCAGCTTATACTCAAGTATATATGGTAATCCTTTGAAAGGAAAGATGTAGACAATGCCCTCAAGTAATTCACAATCTAGTTGCAGGAGAGAGACAGTAAGAAAATAATTTAAGAAGGGCTATAGTGGAAGGACTCATGAAGTACACTTGTTAGGTGCTATTGAATGGGCCCCAACTAAGCAGAAGGAAATACCTTCCCTAGAATGCATTTTCTTCACAATTGTTGTTATGCTTGAGGCCATTGTACCCATTGTGTCACTCCATCTCCTCGCTAAAGGATGGGACAGAGTCTCTTAACCTGAGGAATAGGAAAGATTTCATAAAGAAACTAGTGAAGTTTCATTTTGAATTATTGTCAAGCAAACATTTACTGATGCATATAATATGTGCTGGAACTGACAAAAGTCAAATTAGATATAGTCTCTAGCCTCAGATTGACTATAGTTTAGAAAAGAAAACTTATAATACTATATTATGATTGAAAGCATGTACAGAGTGCCACAGGAACATAGAATGCCTAAATCGGAGTGGGATTAGAGAAAATATTCTAGATGAGGATTTTTCCCCTCTTAAGCTGAGTTGTGGATGACAAATGTGTGGCTCTGGCTAACCAAAAAGAGAGGAAAAAATGTTCTAGGCAAAGAGAATAGCAATATTTAAATATACATATATATAGCAATATGTAAAGATGCAGAGACCTTAATTATAATGGTAAGTTTGAGAAACTTATTCTTTCGTGGTTGCAGTTAAGTGCATGTGTTGGTGAATTGATTGGTTATGTGTTTTGAGAGGTAAACAGGATGCACATCAAGAAAAATTTTATGTGCCAAGCTTAACAGTTTGTATTTAGCCTAAGTGGGAAGGCATCGATGGAATTAAGCAGCAAATGGCAATCAGATGCATATTTCAGGACAATGACTCTAATAAATAGTGTATGGAGAATAGAGGGGTAGAAATACTGGAGGACAAAGGAACAAGCTAGGCTTATTTGGTAATCAAGAGGAAAGAATTTTAGACCTTAAATTAAAAAGAGATGAACTCTAAAGATAATAAAGAGGTTAGAATTTCTAGAAATTTAACACGATAGAGTATCAACAGCCATGTTTCCTATTACTAATTACATATAAAATAATGCGTTAACTCAAAATTTGTTTATTCTGCCAAATATGAACTTGTCTCTCCACTTGATAGTTAATATTTAATAATGTATAAGTGATGACTAGCTATAGAAATGAAAGAAACTGTTAAACTACATTGGAAATGTTGAATCAAATGGAACTTCGTCTTGGTATTTGTAGAATTTCTGTAATGATTATTCAAGCAGCAGTATTGCTATTTTTATCTGACTACTAAATAGTGGTGTAAATATACTGTAACCAAATATACAAAACAACATTTTAGTGTTTCTGAATTCATCATTCTCACACAGATAGAACCTTTTTCGGGAAAACTAGAATGGTTTCCCATGTCCTTCTCAATATTTTTTTCCCTTCAGTTTTTAACTGATGGATACTAAGTAATGCTGGATCATGTTAAACCTCTGTGCACCAGATTCTCCCACTGTTCAAATAGTACACAGAAGGGTTCTAGGTGAGTCTAGAAATAAATATGCACAGATCATCTCCCCATTTGTTTTTCTTTTCCCTTTGAGTCAGTGGCCAGGTAATGTGACCCATGAAATACATTCACCTGACCAAGACAGGTATAATAAGCAGTCCTATAGCTTCCCAGAATTTTTCAGGTATGCATGCTTGAATTTTTACTCAATTACACAAAAACTAATTTGTCTAGCTTTTCTCCTCTGGCTCCTCCCCAGTACCTGCCCGGAATATTTGGTGGCACCCATATGCAATCCTAGGGTGCTTCCTGTTTCTAGTACCTATTAGGTTTGCACATCTATCACTTTATGGTGGCAATGCAATATGGGGTTGCCCTTTAATGTTCTTATCTGTGGAGAAAAGGTTGAACTTGTCAAGATTTCATTTTACTTGGATCCACAATCGGTGCTCTTGGAAGCAGCAATCAAGAAATTGAATGATGTCTTTATTGCATTGAACAAATCTGGGGCACAAGACCTCTTTAAAATATTGAAGAGTAAAAATGTCACTTTGAGGACTAATGTTTGCCTGACCCAAGCCATGGTATTTTCATTCACCTCACATGCCTATGAAATATGGATAGTGAAAATGGAATATGAGAAATTGATGCATTTGAATTGTGATTCTGGAAAATAATACTGAAAATTGCCATGGAAGAATAAGCATCTGTCTATCTTACAAGAAGTACATCCAGATTGCGCCTTAGAAGTGAGGATGGGCAACACTTTTTCTCGCCAACTTTTGCCCTGCTATCAGGAGAGGCCATTCCCTAGAAAGAGACCTTATGCTTGGTAGAGAGTCCGAGAAAAAAAGAAGACCCTGAATGAGATGAATTGATAAGATGACTGCAACAGTGAGCTCAGCGATTACAATTGTGAGGGTAGTACAGGATGGGGCAATGTTTCTTTGTGGTATTCATGGGGTTGCTATGAGTCAGAACCTATTCCACAGCACTTCACATGTAGTCAGTCATTCCCGAGTGACTCCTCCCTTACAAGTATGAGTAAATAACATAATGTGATAAAAATTTTACAAAGAACTCAAGATTTATTTTTGTTAAATCGTGCAGACAAGTTGACATTTGGCTGATTTATCAGCTTTTTCATTGTTGTTGCTGCTGTTAGTGCTGTTAGATGTAATGAGTCAGTTCT